GGTAATTTGCACTCAAGAACCAGTGATGGTACTGTACCATGACGTGATTCCAGGCTCTTCAAGGTGGCATCGTCATGATCAGCTTCTACAACCGCTTCCTGACCTGCGGGGACACGGCGACCTTGGATGATGTGATAGGTAAGCGTGGCCGGTGGCATATGGTTCTGACTTTAAGGGACCGAGTTAGCCATGAATGACATAGGTCTGTCACATACGCTGGAACCTCTCATCTTACATTTCCAAACTTCTGAGTGCATGAAGGTCCTAGCGTGTGAAGTTCATCTTGCTAGCGTGTAAGGCTTGTGCCTCACAACATCCTCACTCTTACGATTTTTCAACTGGCGGCGCGAGCAAGCACATTTCATGCCAGTAAGATGGCTGGTGTTGGTCTGCAGTGCTATATGCGCTGGACATACATTTCCATTGGTTGGTGAACATCTGTCTACGATATAAGATGAGTTGGGCGGAGAATATTCAAACAATTCAGAAAGTTAAAGATTCCAACTGCATTATCACAATAGCGCTACTAGGTTTAAAGTCTCAGAGTCCTGTCGATTTTGCAAATTGGGAAAATCGGGCTGTTTTAATGAATACTTGACAATTGCGAGTGTTTCGTGGTTCGGTAATGCCAGAAGTCTGTAACCAGACTCCCAGATGCAGTCGCACAATATGCACGTTATTGAAAGTGATGTATTTCAAATTCGCTTCTGCTTCCCAGTAACTTTTACTCTCCACTTCTAAAGCGAGATTCAGATTATTTTACATGTCTGGGGTGGGCCTGAACCATTGTCGAATGTTTTTTTTGCGTCTGCCCTGCGCGATACCCATAGCCCATACCAGTGATTTACGCAGCGTGGGGTAATAAGACTGTTGTTACAAAGAAGGATGTAACCATATAAGGGCTGCAACAAATATGTGCCTTCGCAGGCACAGGAATGCGAAGACACGCTAGGCTCCTCTCTCTGAGTATGGTCTTGAGCCCCTCCACATAAAATTATAGCCGTTTGGGAAAAACAAAATAGTTCAGCAATCCCTGTTCCAAGACTAAAAGGTCCAAAACAGACCCGATTGTTGTTCAATTTCTTTAATTGGTGGGAGCATTTGCTTTTTATATCTTAAACTAATAGACTGTTGGGCCAAGTTTACCGTTGAGGGTGACAAACCCACTACTGGGGGCCATCTCAACGTTGGGAGGTGGGGGGAGATGGGGATGGGGGGGGGGGGGCAAGTGACAAGAAGCGGAAAAATGAGAGAAACGTTGAACAACCGGAGTGACGACGTTGAAATGGCGCGGTCGGGCGCTTAAAGGCTCTGCATCAAAAGGCTCATTTATACAACTTCAGCAATAAGTTCATTTCTAAACAAGTCAATTTGCTCGCCCAGGACCGACGATAGGTGAAGAAAGGGTGTTTTACTTTACAAAAAGCGCAATGTGCAGTTCCTTTGATAGGAACACGCGTGGTATCCATGCAGGTAAATGCCAGCGTCTCGTACGCGCAATCATTGTCATAAAAAGGCACGGAGATGCTCGCAAAAATGTGTGTCGCTGCGAGCAAATCTGGAAAAGATTATACGTGACGTCGTGTAGAATATAGCATTCTTGGTGCGCTGCGAATACACCCTTAGACTCGCTCGCTGGTCAATGTAGGCTACAATTACCTGCATATTACATCCCCATCAGTTGTGGAAATCTGCATCATGGTAATGTAGAGTCTGTCTTTTTCTGCCTGCGTTTTTTCATGTGTACATAAACCTACACAGAAGGAATGTTAACTGGGGCTATTACTTACGATATGTGTCACACTTATTGCGATTGTCATTAATTTTCAAAGCGTGTGTCTCATTAAGATTTGTGTCGTGTTTCCTTCTGCAGTCTCTTCCGATATTTGTATCGGTACACAGGTGCGCGTCAAAAATTTCAGTTCAGCATATGATGTTGACTATATCTTCGATAAAGATCCGAAGGTTACTCACAGCAGGCTATGTGGCATGTAAACAAATGTTTTGGACATACCGTGCTCAGTTTTTGTTTCCGTGGAAATATTGCTTAACCAATTAGCGGCAACTCACGTTTTTTGTGGCACTGGTAAATGTGGAGGACGCTAATGGAGTGGCACAAACCTAATTATTGGATGGCATGTGTTTGCTGTCCTTGCACGTCGTATCACAAACGGCGCAGTGAGAACCACCATGGAATAAAAAATTGCTAGTGTTGAGAGGGAAATGTAGACTATTTCCAAGTTGTTGTGCTTTATTTATGACGTGCTATTGTGTAATGTATTCATTTACGGAGGGAAAAAACCTATGACAGTCTGACTTCCTTTTTTCGTATACATTCCTTCCCATTAATAATTTAGCGCTCGCACTCGCCGAGCAATCGGCGAGTGCTGTAAAGAGTGTAGTTGAATGTAGTTGTAAAGACATGCTTTAGACTACATCGTTTCCATGACGAAAATAATGGAGTTTTGGTTCTTTTTTTTAAAGATTTGATCCGAACCCTTTGAATGGATGGATTTCCGGGATCAGAGCTCACGCTAAGCAGTGCCTGTTGTATGAGCCCTGACCCCCACCATCCGATCGCGCAATTCCATGTCAACGGCAGAATTTGGTGGCGAAAGCTTAACGTGCCGCAGTGCTCGGCACGGTCCGTCTTGCCCTCTGACGTCAACTGACCCTCAGCGCGACCGCTGCCACCGGCCGCAGGCCATACCTGTCAAGGGCAAATGGCGAGCGCCCTAAAGCGACTCGAACCCACCCCGCCACGGGTGGGCGCATCGGAAGGCAGGCGCTCTAACCAACTGAGCCACCGGGACGGATAAAATTTACATTACAATTCATTTACATTATAGTTCTAAGTGCATGGAGAATTCCTCTTCAACGTGTCAACTTTTACATAACATTAATCATTTGAATAAATCATGGATGTTGCTGAGTAAGAAAGCAATTTTCAGCGCCGAAAATGTTGCTCGTTTGGAGCCCCGTAATTACGCAATCTACCGTGATGACCTGCCGCTTCTGGCACCGCGTGTATACAACGCTGCTGCGGTAACAAGCGTGGGCTGAGTGGTGCTTGTTTGTTCCAGCTCACATTGAGCGGGTGAGGAAGATGGCCGGGGTAGACCATGTTGGCCTTGGAGCCGGCTACGACGGAATCAACCTGTGAGTCTAGTTGACCATCTCCGCATCGCACATGTTGCAGCGTATTCGATGATCTGGAATGCTGATGTTTTTCAAGGTCTCACTCTTGTTTGACTTCATGTCTAAAGGGTCGTTCACACCCTTAAAGACTGGCTGCAGAATCCACTGCAGATTCTGCGATTGCCGGCTGTTGCGGACAAGAGGTGCCACTTTTAAGTCGACAGACCCGCAACCTGCGAGCAAAAAGTGCTCAACAGTGGTATTCCTGCCGGCGGCACCACCCGACGAGCACAGAATCTGCTGCCGATGCTGCTGACATCGGGTACTGATTAGCGATACCACTTTTGAGCTGTTTTCACCTGCTAATTCCGGGTCTGTGGGCATAAATGTGATACCTCTAGTCAACGACAGCTATTGACTGCAGAACCTGCAGAGGACTCTGCAGCCAGCTCACAAGGTGTGAGCGTGGCTTCAGTTCCGCTGCCGCCGTGTCATGAAGAGGGCTTGTTCAGAGGCGGTTGTCGTGCTGATCAATGTATGCCCAGTCGTTTTCCCAATTTTAGGAATTGATTTTACTGATGTGGATCTGGTTTTTGTGAACTGTTTTAGGTGCGCAACTCGCTAAGAAAATCTGCCCTTTTCAATGCCTTTTGAGAAATATCTTGGTGCTATTTAATCAGTTGAGTGGTACAGTATTTTTACTGAACGTGGCAGCTTCGAACTGGCTCAAACCCTGAATCCTACTACACATAGTTCCAAAACATTGCATTTTGAATCATTTTAACCCATATTAAATCAGCTGTTCGTTACGCACACCGTTTAAGAGTGTGACGTCCTATCCCGTCCCCCATTTTGTGAGCTGGCGTTCTTCTTAATCCTGCAGTGCCTGTCGATCGACTGGGCCCCTCCCCCCCCCCCCCCCCCCCCAGCTCCATCCCCTGACAGGACGGTCTCCTGGTCCACGCGCAGTGCCAGAGTGCAGTCCGCACTCCCCCCCCCCCTCTACGCCATTCAGCCAGTAAGCCACAGTGACCTCTACAGAGTGCCTGAGGGTTTGTCGGACCCCTCGTCGTACCCGGCCCTGGTGGCGCGCCTCCTCTCTCGGCCCGGCTGGTCGGAGGACGACGTCAAGCGGCTGGTCGGCCACAACTTCCTCAGGGTCCTCAGGAGGGTTGAACAGGTGCGCATCAGGCAGGAGAAGTGTCAGCTTTGGGAACGCTTGTAGATTTGTTTGGGCAATATGGCAACATTTTAACTGACAGGGCTGGCCACCTGACACAAAATAGGGTATGTTGCGAGTCAACTCAGAAAGCATGTGTTCATATGATAGAAGTAAGGCTAAAAAGTAATATATTTCGATGTTGACATTTTTGGAATGTGAATGTTTTGTGAGAGAAAGCAAACTTGGAGAAAAGTGAATTGATGGAGTGGCTGAAAAATCTCCGATGTTGCGCAACATTTTATAGCCATTTCATTTGTCTTTTATGTCTCGTGCATATGTAATGACGCTATTGCGTTCTATGCATATTTAAAGGCTGTTAAATTAGCCCTTGTGTTGACTGCACGGCCGAGTTTTCAAAAACAATCCTAGTTCTTCTGTGCTTGCCCTTGAGCCCTGAAGAAACCCTAAAGCGATCAATTTATAGTCATTTTCGGGCTTAGTTTTATAACATCAGCAAAGACTATTTAGTGCCCCTTACATTTATCGTAAATGTGCTAAAAATAATATCGGAGCTACAAAGGTGCAGGTTGTGATGTATTTCTTAGTTAGCGCATATTAGTGGTGTTTTTATATATGGACCAAAATCACCCATTCAAAGCAACTGGAGCATTGCTAGATGCATCACATGCAGGCCTGGAAACCAATTGCGAGGTTCTCCGGTTAGCGACCATTTTACACGGCCCCTAATTTGGACGTCACTGTTAACGTTCTTGTCGATGGCAGTCATTTCCTGCTGCAGCTTTTTGCTTCGTCTAATGGCGGCCATTTCGATGTGACCCTGTTCCGAGAATGTCGGTTCGCTTTCCGTCGGGCGTGCCTCCGACACGCTAAATCTCCGTTTTTCTGGCGCCGGGCGTGCTCTGTTCGGCCTGAACGGAACGAGGCTCAGAGCCAGAAGCTCCTTCTTGGCCACAGTCGTCGTGCGGCGTGGTTTATAAACACTAACTATCGCGTGAGATCCCCCGGTGGAAAAGCTTCCCAACAAAGGCGTTTTTGAGGTTTCGTAGGGCATTTAACCCATTGCAAGCTACGGAAAACGATTCGCTGTAGGGCCAGTAACTGTCACCAATAGCCATTCGATAAATCTGATTACAGCCTATTATGTTGTTGCAAGGGCCAACGACACGAGATGCTTGATCGCGTTATTTAGCTGCGCTGGATTGGGGTCCTGCAGACTTTGATGCCCGAATTGGCAATCGATGTCTTGGTATCAGCATTGATAATCAGCCTTTATAAGCCTTTAACAGATCGGAGATGGCTAGCAGGGGCAAATAATGGCGGGAGCGTATCATGGCAGGGTAGAAAATTAATCCACATCAACTCAGTTATGCTAAGTGTCCCGACGAAAATTCACCAGTTTAAATGAAATCGCATTGCTTGAGTGCTGGAACCAGGGGAAGCCAGGAAAACCAACGGGTCGCGCTCACTGAGTATTTTAGAGTTGAAACTAGGTGAGCGACTGCAGCTTTATTCAGCGCGTGCATTATTGGTATTGGCTGGATGAATCTGCGCAGCGGTGGTGACGAAATACCAGGTTTGATTAAATTGTGCACCTGTAAGAACACCCAGTTTAAATAGGTTTCAAAATTTTATAACTATGCAAACCTGGGGCATGCGCCCGTGCAGCTGTGTCCATTTAAATGAAGATTTTGCGAACAAACGCAGTGGTTTAATATCTCTGGATGAGCCTCGTACGTAGGCTATAGCAAAGATCGTGTTAATTCAAAATGAAGCTGAAAATGATGCTGCAATGCACTGTGGGGAAGCTGGTACCGTATTTCAATTCGTCATCATACTTAAACCGGCAACTCTTTCCACAAGCTTGTGGTGACAATCACGACCTTTTGCTTCGAAAGACATTGACGCACTCACTGTGAAATTAAAAAATCACAATATAAAATATATTGTGATTGTTATAAAATGTTTTATAAATTTTTTTAAAAAATTTAAAAAAAAAATATAAAGAAATTCTATAAAATCACAAAAAAGGGATTTTAACTACGGCATACTATATTTTGGTCCCGGAAGTGGTTGTGGACATGAGAACAGCCAACAGAGCCATCAGCTTAATTTCCGCTGCAACGGACGCAGCATCGGTCTCTAATCCTGTGCACACCCCTGCCCAGATGTGACCTTGACCTACTGTTTCAGGTACGGGATCACCTCTCGTCGGAAGAGGCGGTCTCATTGGATGAGTTAAAGCCAATGAGCCGGCATCGCCTGAGCAACAACTGCACTTACGACATACGGCTTTAATGTTTTATGCCGTGCGCGTTGATCCCGTAAGCGAAGCTCAAACGCCATGTGTGGGAATGGTGCGGTAACCAATCAGAAATAGGAAATTCGTCATTTCGGTTTGGGAAGGAACCATCCAACAAGCCTCAGTTACTGGAGAGCTTTTTTGTTTAGCGGCCGACTATAAATCACGTTTCACATGGAGTGGGGAGGAGAGGGGGGGGGGGGGCGGACTGTGCGTAACCGAATTGTAACAATGGCAGGGATGGTGTGGTGTTCGATAGCGTAACCTCACGCTCAGGTGTGGTTGCAAATCATTGAATATTTTTGTTGACACCATTACGTCGAATAAATTTTGCATGCTCTTCTCACAAGCAGCATGTCCCTTTTTCTTTACATCTAGTTTAATTTGAGACCAAACGGACGCTAGTTTTGGAGCGTTACGTGAATCCCAGCACATCAAGGGAAACGGGGTTTTCGCCCAGCGTGCCACATGCGTAACCAGAAGGGAAAAGTTTGAAAAGGCGCGGAAAGTGCGTGATGTAATTCATGGAGGGTCCCTGAGCGCCAGATGGTGTGAGACTGATGGTAAAATGAAGTACTTGGGTGGCCCGTCGGGCATTCAGTGATGATTGTCATGAAAATACACTGACTTTTAATGACGAAAACACAATCACCAGCACACCGCTACAACACAGTTACACGAGCTCATCAGCCATGAGCGCCTGAATGTGTGTGAGTATGAGCGAATCAAGTCAGTTTTGATTCGCGTACGTTGGCCAGACTCGCAAAAGAGCGCTCGTTTTCTTTTCAAGTGCGTCGCGTTTCAGTGACAATAGATGTCTGAGGACCCACGGCCTGGAGGACGTCACGGACGGGAACAATCCACAGACGGTGAACGGATCCACGGGCGGATCGGTAGGATTGGATTGGATCGGATCGGATCTGAAAACTTGAACAACATACAGATTAGAGCTCGACCGGATCTGAGAGCTTCCCTGTGAGCACTTACTGAACATGTTTCAACTTAATCAAACTTCAGATGACGCCAACTTAGCGGAAATACCCACTGCAAGGATCCTAGTAAAGGAGCTTTAATCATGCAGGAAGGGTATGTTCAGTTATAGATACTGAAATATGTCCTGGATGATTGAGCTAAACACGTCGATGTGATGATTATTCCACAAAAAGTGGCTGCTAACAAATAATGACAGCAGCCTGAGAGGTTGTTACCAAACCATTACCTACCATTTATATGAAAGGCATGGTCAGCCGTGGCTGATCACTAACAATGTACCTAAAACAAAATGTACCTATAGAAATGAAAAATTTGTGCAGCACCAGCAAATCATGTCATTTTTATGCTCATACGATGGAAAAGCCGGCATCAAAGCCAACGTATTCTTTTGAAGTTGGGACGGCATTGTCAATCTGATGAAGACAGTTAGGTAGCATTTTATTCTTTGCATTCTGAATCAGCAGTCACCTGGCGTTGCAGCAAAAAGAGACAGCGTTCGAGGTTGCAACTATCTTAGTATTTTGTTCTTTGGTGCTGCCTTATCTATGTCCGTGATCCTTTCATAAGGCTTCGAGATCAAACTAAAATTAATGGCATCTTTCAACGTCACTAGATGCCTTACATTGGGTGCCATTCCAACGGGATATACGAGGAAAAGCTCGAAAAGTATACTAGCCCACCTCAGAACCGAAGGTAACTAAATTGTGTCAACATTTTTCGGTTGTCAAAGCTCTTGACGAATAGGCAAGCTAAATAACAGAGATGTAGGCAGGCAATACGCTGCCACATTTTCCAAACGCATGTCTCACCCATTTACTTGGATGTTGCTCCGATACTGTCCCCAACAATACGGTTTACCAAGACGCGTACCAAACTTTTTCCGTGTGGCGTCAAATTTCCGTGTGGCGCTAAATGCGTCGAATATACACCTGGCGCACGAATTAACCGTAACGTTGCCTTAAAACATGGCGATCCGAGAAACTCATGATTCGTCTTCTGCCACCTACGTTCCGCGAGGGATCATTGAATGGCGTTTTGAATTACATGTATATTATGATGAATAATCTATGTTGCTCAACCTGCGGTATATTCAGCAAGAGGTTACAAAGTGGCATGTTCGGTGTCAAAATGGCAAAACGGCTTCATAGCTGTCAAGAGCGTTCGACCGATCACTGCTGTGTGCTGAGAACGAGTGTGACTTCGACCTACGATATTACGTCACTGAAACAATTTGAATCGAACATCCGAAGGATATGCATTGTTTACTTTTTAAGGTCACCTTTAGCTCAGATTCTTTGCTAAGATTTATGGTGTCGATGCAGTTATTTAACTCGATTTTTGCTATTTTCTATAATTTCAAGTTCAATTAGGACAGTATGCATACAGTGACAGGACAGCATGCATACAGGAGGGCATGCATACCCGGCCAGCCTTTTTTCCCTGAAATTCAATGAGCCGCCATTGATTAACATTGTCGGGATTCATACAACAAACATGCATAGCTTATGCGTGTTTGTGATATGAATGCTGCAATATTACAAACACGGATAAGCGATGCAAAGTAGCGTAAATGTGCCGATATGCCGTAGGTAAAGGGGTATCTATCTGTATAAGGTACTTCACCGATATCTATCGCAGACATAGATCACTGTATAAGATACAAGTTATCAGCTCACGTAAAAAATGCAGGTTTCCAATGGCGTCACTCGGGCCGAAGGCAAAGCATGATATTTAAAATGTGTGTGGTCCTCAGATCAGCTCTGAAATGTGTGAAATTTGAAGAACATAATGCGATCCTGGTTACGTTTTTTTGCCGGAGCTCTTAAAGGGGTATCACGCCTTTTTGTGTGTTTTTTTTGTATATTTTTTGTACCTCGTTTATGTTACATCAGACGCGTACGACTTGATCAGTGATGCCAGTTTTCTCGAAATCCTTCTATAGCTCAGAATTTCGCTTTGAAAGCGTTGGCAGCGTAATTTGGACTCGAAAATGATTAAAATTGACATCCTTATTATGTCTTTATGTTACTGCGGTGGTTATGCCTAGTGCTATTATCAGATCTAACCAGTTCTGAGGTTTCACCAGAGTGTTTTAAAAAAAATTATGCCCCAAAGATGGGGCACTCCCTTTAGACTTCCACATGATATTTGGATGTGTTGATCACCCCCTAGCTGCGCGCGTGGTCCGTCCGACCAAACGCGCAGCAGGTGCATTATTGAGCGTTGGTATCCATCACAGCCCGTGACCTCGGCAGAGATAATCGGTAGGGATAATCCACGAAATTATGGAAGCGTTTACAAACCTTCCGTTTCCGTAAACGTGCGTGTTGAGCGGGTGTTAAGATCCTGTACAAAGTTGCTCATTTTCTTCGATATGTCCCTCTTGCATCCGAGTCAGTGCGAGAGTAAAGCTATCATAACACGAGTTTGGAAAATTGTGGATTTTTATCGCGGTTCTAGGCGATAGCAAGTGGAACCAGAGATGCTACGCACATTAAACTGCAACCATGCAGAGTCCTTTGGTCTGCATGCGACACCAAACAACGACAGCTGCCACAGGATCGAACACCTCACCAGTCCGCTGTCTGTGAGCAGGGCGCAGGCTCTTGTTTGCAGCTGCTTGAAGCCGTCAGACCAGCGTGGTGAATCTGATGGTAAATTTTTGATGACTGGTGTGTTTGTGTACCATATGAATAAGGCTTAAACTGTTTAAAGCCGCTTTAAAAATGGTGAATTTGCTTTTGGTGTCGTACAAACACCGCAGAAACTTACGTCTCTTCATAACGCTTTTATCCCATGCACCAACATTCCCTTACGCTAGTGCGATATTTATGACGTCATCTGGTGAATGCAGCACTCGGGGGACGGACTTCCTCAGTTTCGCTATTGGTTGGATCCCACGCGGCTCAGTATAGGAACGTGACGTCACTGAAGCCCTGATCCATCATAGGCCCTGCCACAGCCGCCAGCGACGCAGCAGCGCAGCGGAAACATCGGGCGCATCGCTCCGAGGACTTCAAAGTAACACAACTCAACGCTCTTCAAAGCTGGCTTTGAAGAATGAAGTGTGGTCAAATGGTTTCGTTCAGTCTTTCTGTTACCCTACAAAGTGCTCAAATGTCTCTGCAGTTGGCTACTTGGCACGGATTGGTTGCAGGTGGGTGCCGAAGCTGATCATTGCCGTACATTGACACATAGTTACCTTCCTTATGTCGCGTACCGTTGAAAACTAAGAGCGGCGAGCGAGCATGTCCCCACCCGGTCCTCCGTTAACCTATGGCCATGCCAGATGTACCGATAAACCCAGCAATGTAGGCACCTACACTCGACACGCCTGTAAAAATTGCCAAGTGCACAGCCAAGGTCATGTCGGGTGACCTGCCCCCGCCCTCCCTTCTTAGGCCCAAATTTTTGTTTTCACCTTGGGAGGCGCCGGGCAGGAAAATAAAAGTCAACGTGATGCGTTCATGCTGAGCTCTGCCCCCCCCCCCCCCCCCCCACCAGCAAATCCTGACTACGCCGTTGTAATTTGCTACTATTTCATTGAAGGCGCGCTGATGGGTAGGTGGGGCGAGGAAAAGTGTGTGCCTGGGGCGTGAAAGGCTTCAAATCCAGGCATGGCATGCATGCAAACGAGGTATTCCCAGCAATTTGTGGTGTTGCATGCTTGAAAATGCGATAAAACACACGCAAAGGATAGGTATCTGTTTCTGACCGCCATTATATCTGGAAATTGTGCTCAAGAACGCCAGACATGAACGACTCGACAGTTACATCTTTTGTCCTCGGTCACCACATGGTCAAAAAATAGTAGGATTTTGATGACATTATCATGACGTCATGGATCCCGGAGAAACCCTGAAATAGTTTCCCCGAAAAAGTCTGCGCATCTCAGCGGGCCTGGAGCTCAGCAACTAGAAGGGTCTACGTTTTAAGAAGGGCGTGACTGTGAAATGCAACGAATGATCTTCAAGATGGCGGCCCCAGTTCAAAACCCCACACAAATGTAAAACACTCCCTTTAATATGCGTGCCGAGGAG